CAGCGCCTACTCAGTCCTGTGCCCCTTCTCTCATCTTTTCTATAATCCAGAGCTTTTGTGACCTCATGCTCCATCAGCCTGTTCCCTCCCTAACCAGTGCCTCCACCATTTGCAGTTCTAGAGATGACATTTTTTACCTGCATAAAGATAGGACTGGCTATGGGAGAAGAAGACTTTCTGGATTGTCCCTTCTCCACTTTAGACTCCTCTTTCTATATTTTGTTTAAGAGGCTTTTTTTTTTAATTAGAAAAGTAATATATTCTGATTGTACTAAGTAAAACTATTTAGAGGTGAATATGAAATAGGTTAATTACCTTGTAACCAACATCAACAGCTTGGCATTATCCTAACATACACACACACAGATACACAGAGGTGGGGATTTTTTTTAACTTGGAATTTTAATTATGCACATAAAAGGGATTTTTTTTTAAGGAAAAAAATTGGATCCAACAATACATATTACCTGCTTTTTCATTGCTCACATAGGTTCCTGCAGGTTGAGTGCATAGACTAGCATATAGAGTAGTGATGTGTTGTGTGGGCTTTGGAGCCAAACTATCTTTGAGTGAATCCTGACTTCACCTTATTGGCTGTGTGATCTTGGGCAAGTTTCTTAAACTCCAGCCTCTGTTCCTTCTGTCAAATAGTCATCACAGTTGTAGAGGTTTCTGTGAGGGTTATGGCTATGATACATTTAAAGTGTAGAGAACAGTGCCTGGCTTCTAGGAAGGACTCTCTGTTAGCTATTGTTATAACCTCATGTTCTTTTCAAAAGCTGAAAATACCCAGCTGTCTGGTTGTGCCTCCTCTTGGTGAGTATTCACACTGTGTCCATTTTCCCCACTGTAAACAATGTTGCAGGAAAGTTCCTTGTATACTTGGTTGTTTGTAATGGGCTTTTTATTTCTATATGACTGTCCCAGAAGTGGCATTACTGTGTCAAAGAGTGATTTTCATAAATACAGCACAGTTTCTTTGATTTAATGGAAATATATATTTGACCTTTGTCCCTGGTCTGGCACACAGCTCCTAAAACTGTTGGAGTCTTCTGAGTGGTAAGAATGACTAGCATATACTAGCATACAAAAGAAATTTTTGTACACTAATGGAGATGACTCATGGCTGGTGGCCCCTAGAGAGCTTCAGGATGGGGTCTTAGAACTTTCAGGCTTACCCCAAACCTCAGAGAGCGGAGGGGGCTAGAGACTGAATTAATCACTGGTAGACAATGACTTAATATGTATCATGACCGTACAATGAAACTTCCTTAAAAACCCCTGAACTATGGATGGGCTCAGTTAGTTAAGCATCTGACTTTGGCTCAATTGGTTAAGCTCATAGGTTAAGCCTCCAACTTTGACTCAGGTCATGATCTCAGGGTCCTGGGATCAAGCCCCGCATCAGCCTCCCTGCTGAGTGGGGAGTCTGCTTCCCCCACCACTTCCCCCCAATTGTGCACACTCGCTCTCTCAAATAAATAAAATTAAAAAACAACAACAACCCCTTAAACTGTGGAGCTTTTGTTGGTGAATGAGGTAAGGTGCTAGGAGGGTGGTGTGCCCAGAGAAGGCACGATAGCTCCCTGCCCCTCCCCATACCTTGCCCTAGGCATTTGGCTATGTGTGCGTTGTGTCCTTTATAATAGATTGTTAACAGTAGGTAAATTGTATTCCTGAGTTCTTAGGGCTATTGTAACAAACCTGGGACTTGAGACTAGTATGTATGTATGTATGTATGTATGTATGTATTTATATTATTTATATTTTATCCATGTACTCATGAGAGACACAGAGAGAGGCAGAGACACATGCAGAGGGAGAAGCAGGCTCCCTGCAGGGAGCCTGATGTGGGACTCGATCCCGGGACCCTGGGATCACGCCCTGGGCCGAAGGCAGACACTCAACCCCTGAGCCACCCGGGCGTCCCGAAACTAGTGTTTAACGTGGGGGGCCCACTTGTGGATTGAGCCCTTAACCTTTGGATCTACCCTAATTCTGTTAGTTAAATGTCAGAATGGAATCAAATTGTTGGTGTCTGGTGAATCAGGGATCGGGTTTTGGTTTTGGAAAACATCCTAGACTTTCCAAAAAGAGTATCACCGTTTATACTAAAAGCCTAGCTTGGGAAGGCCTGTTATAGATATTATCGGGATAAACTACAGGGGAGAGAAAATGCTTTTTAATTCTTTATTAAAGTGAATTTTTAAAATCTGTGCAAATAAAAAAGGTAAAAAAAAAAAAAAAACGTGTGTATCCATCACACTGTCCCAATCTCAGACCACAGTCAGTGCCCTGTCCATGTCTAATCTACACTCTCTTCTACCCCGTGTTACATTGAAAATCCTAGACATCATATTTTCTTGAATGCACGTTTCAGTATGTATCTCCAAATGATAGGTTTTTAAAAATTGTGGCAAGAACACTAAAAACAAGTTCCATGGTTTTGCTTTTTTTTTAAAGTAGGCTCCACACCCAGCATGAGCTCGAACTCATGACCTGAGATTAGGAGTTTTGTGCTCTACCGACTGAACCAGCCAGATGCCCTGACTGCCACAGGTTTTTAAGTGCCTGATATGATGCTGTTAACCACTGGTGCAGTGTTGTACAGCACATCTCTAGGGCCTGTTCATGTTGCGTTACTGAAACTTTCTACTCCCCATTTCTCCCTCTCCCCGGCAGCCACCATGCCTCTGTGAGTTTGACTATTATAGATACTTCACCTAAATAGAATCAGACAGTATTTGTTCTTCTGTGACTAGTTTACTTCATTTAGCATGATCTCCTCCCGGTTCATCTGTATTGTAGCATATGACAATTTCCTTCTTCCTTTTTTTTTTTAAGGCTTAATTATATATTCCACTGTATTTATATACTGCGTATTCTTTATCCATTCATGCATTGGTGGACATTTATGTTTTTTCCACACCTTGGGTAATGTGGATAATGCTTCGGTGGACATAGGAGTGCAGGTATCTCTTCAAAATCGTGATTTCAGTTCTTTTGGATAATTACCCACAAGTAGGATTGCTGGGTTGTATGGCACTTCTATAAACGATAGGCTCTTACCACAATAATAACAAAGCATGTATTACTATTACATTTCTTTTTAATGCTGAATAGTACTCCACTGTATGGATATACTACATTTTATTTATGCATTTATCAGTTAGTGCTCGTTTGGCTACCACGTATAGTGCTGCTGTGAATATTCAGGACGAGTTTTGTGTGAACCTGTTTTCATTCTTCTTGGGTTTATACCTAGGAGTAGAATTGCTGGATCATTTGGTAACTGTATCCTTAGCCTTTTTAGCAACTGCCAAACAGTTTCTAAGGTGGCTGCACCCTTTTTTGTTCCCATCAGCAATGTATGAGGTTTCCGTATTTATGTATTCTTTTCTTGTTAGGCTTCCTTTTATGGTCATATCTAAAACTATTTGCCTAATCAAATGGGTTCTAAGAGTTTTATGTTTTTGGCTCTTCTGTTTAGGCCTGAAATTTTTGAGTTAATTTTTGTGTATAGTGTGATAGGGGTCCAGCTTCGTTCTTTTCTTTGAGGGTGTCCACTTGTCCCAGCATTATTTATCAAAAAGATGATTCATTGAATTGTCTTGTCATCCTTGAAAGCCATTTGACCCTTAATGTATGTAAGGATTTGGGCAGCCCCGGTGGTGCAGCGGTTTAGCGCCACCTGCAGCCCAGGGCATGATCCTGGAGACCCGGGATCGAGTCCCAGGTCGGGCTCCCCCTCTGCCTGTGTCTCTGCCTCTCTCTGTCTCTCTCTGTGTTGCACATGAATAAATAAATAAAATCTTAAAAAAAAATGTATGTAAGGATTTGTATCTGGACTTTGAGTTCTGTTGATCTGTATGTCTCTTCTTATGCCAGTACTGCACAGTCTTGGTTACTGTAGTTTTGGGTAGTAAGTTTTGAAGTTGGTGAATTTTTATATGAAATTGGTTTTCCTGGGGATCCCTGAGTGGCTCAGCGGTTTAGTGCCTGCCTTTGGCCCGGGGCGTGATCCTGGAGTCCTGGGATGGAGTCCCGCATTGGGCTCCCTGCATGGAGCCTGCTTCTCCCTCTGCCTGTGTCTCTGCCTCTCTCTCTCTCTCTCTCTCTCTCTCTCTCTCATGAATAAATAAATAAAATATTAAAAAAAGAAATTGGTTTTTCTGAACCTTAAAGAAGCAGGATTCATAAGCATACTTTTTCTAGCTTCACAGTTGTAGAGCTCCCTCTTCTGTTGCTTTCAAGATATGTTCAAAAGTAGGGTTCCATAATTTCTGAGATCTGGTTCCGTTTCTCTCTTCTGCTTTTTGGGGACCATTTCTTTTTTTTTGGGGGGGGGGAGGACCATTTCTTTACCTCTTTTACCCACATGCTACTGCATTTGACATCCCTTCCCAGCGCTTTATAATACAGTGAAGATACAAACAGAAGAAAACCACTCCCTGGTCCTGTTGTCCACCTAACCTCTTCTGACAATTTTTAGAAACAGTAATACAAAAAGGAAAACCCATGTATATTTGGACTCCTCCAGTAGTTGAGTAAAGTGAAAGTATTTTTCTATCCTTATCTATTATGGTTTCAAGAAATTCCTTTCAGGAAAAAATAGATATTCATTTACCATGGAACCCAGGCTTCTTGTGTAATTATTAATCCTATTAGTGTATTGGCTGCTTAAATGACCCTTGCACAGCCAGGAAGAGGTCCTCATGCTCCTGTAGCCCCATCCCCCAGCTGTCCTTAGGGAGATTGCCTCTGGTTACACTGTTTCAGATTACCTGTGTTTCCGGAACTCTGGTAACTTTGATGCTTTGACTGTATATATATCTTCTGTCAGCAAGTATTTTCCTTACAGTTAGAATGTATGGTCCTGGAGGATGGGAAGTAGTTTCTTTTTTTATATATTAGTGCTCAATAACCTCTGTCCTGGCTGACGGACAGACTGCCTGAGGAGTGCTGCTGATGCTTCTGGGACTTGTGTTTATTCCCTCCAGGGGAGCCGGGCAGTGGGACGGAAAGTGATACTTCTCCAGACTTCCACAATCAGGAGAATGAGCCCAGCCAGGAGGACCCTGAGGATCTGGACGGATCTGTGCAGGGCGTGAAGCCTCAGAAGGCTGCTTCTTCTACTTCCTCAGGGAGTCATCACAGCAGCCATAAAAAACGAAAGAATAAAAACCGGCACAGGTCAGTGGTCGGGGACCCCCCCCCCCCCGCTGCCCCCCTACCCCCTGCTCCCCTGCCCAGAGCTTCCATGACCACTGCTCAGTGAAGGGACTTCTCTAGAGGAAAAATTTGTCAGGATTGGCACCATCTTTCTGTTGCTGATGGGGAGAAATTGCTGTGGTCCAAATGAAAGAGGCACAGTTTTCTCCAGTAGAATTTCTACTTAATTTAATGGTGGGCATTAGAGTAACAGCGAAGGAAGACAGCCTTCTCACTGTATCCAGTGTAGAAGAATTTCATTCCCTAAAAACATTATTTCATATGGTGAATTTGAAGCAGAAAAGGGAAAGTCTGTATAATAGTACTTGGAAAATGGCACTAGGACGTGTTGGGAAGCTGCAAAGTGGGAGAGAGTCTTTTGCTGCATATCCTGATCCCCACCTATACTTAACTTCCTCGTGGGTGGACCGAGCTGATCTGATATGCCTTTTTTTTTTCTTTCTCTTTTTTGATTGCTTATGATTTCTTTGTTTTATGTATCTCTGTAATATGCTGATTGCACATATCAGAGAGGAATAATGTAAAGTCTGTAAGATATGAGAGTGCTTTTCTAGGTAATATTTGTCCACTATGTGTGTTTTTGTTTTTTTACAGTGCGTAATGAGATAGGAATGACATCAGTGGACAGAGAGGTCAGGTGTCACCCAGAGAGGATTTTAGCATTCACTCTGCCTGGGGTTTGTATGATGATGCCAGGGCCTATTAACTCAGATAATTGGAAATTACACAGCTGCACTCAAAATGGGTAATGCATAGTTTCTAGAGTGAGCGAGCAATCTTGCTCTGATCTCAAACTTCCTTCTGGCAGGCATGAAAACCAGGTGTCCCTAGGCTGGCTTTTGTCCTGCTCCTCTTGGGAGCTCGTACTGAGATGAAAGGGCACAAGCAAGAAAGGGGCGGGATTCCCTGTCCCCCAGTGCACTTCTGGGTTAGGTTGCCTTACAGACCTGTGGGATAACCAAGGCATTCATGTTGTTAGCTTCGTGGTTATGGCACATGGGGATAATATACAATGAACTTGAACTAGTTGAAGCCTCCTATAAGCATCAGCAGATTCTCTAATTCTTTAAAGAATTTTTCTTGTCAATGGCGGTGGTGGTTTTTAGACTGCAGAAATAGTATTTCCTCCAAAGAGTGACTCAAGATCGCTGCTTAACGCTTTCCTGCAAACCAAAAGTCACTATGCCGGTCTTGTAACGGCAGTAAGAAATAGCAAAAATTGCACATCTTATTTTGTGTGTAAGGTTATAGGCTGTTTAATCACTGTGGTAGGACTAATGTTAGCTTATCACAAACAATAGCAGGGAACCAAAGTCTTAAAATATTTTTTTAAGTTCAGATAATTAAATATCGGGCTCTGTGTTGCTTTTATGAAATTTATTTCAGTGTCATTTTAAAGCAATAATTCTTTTCCTATTTCACAGTGTTTAGAGCAGGGGGACAATTCCTTGAAAGTTTCTGCGACATTTTTTCCATTAGTGATACAATAGAGAGCTACCATTTATTGTAGGTGACACTTCCCTTTTTGTAATGCCATCATCAGTTGACTGATAAAAGGGAATTAGGCAGGAACTGAACTTCCTCCTGTACGTTTCTAGTAGAGTTCCATAAGAACAGCACTTCTTCCTACCCTTTTTTCTCCTGGCTCCCAGAGCTAACTCCTCCCAGAAAAACAGAAGGATTTCTAAAGATCATGGATGTTCTTTATTGCTTTCACAGATGGTGTTTTCTGTTTGGAAGGCTGGCTTTTTTTGTCATCCTCCTGGTTTACTATCTGGCTGGCCTTCTCCCTTGGCCATAGGCACATACGTGCCCTCAGGGAGCAGAGTGGAGCTGATTTACCTTCTTCCTGTGTAAAAGGCTCTGTGCACCAGAGTGGCGTCTCAGTGGCCAGTTAAGGTTCTACATTCCCACCATCTTCAGTCAGGATCTGTCCAATCCCCTTGCCCCCTCACTGCTATCTTTGTGGTTCTATCAGATTGAGTGAGGGTGGGGCACTTTGTTCATACACATTTGTATATTTGCATCTGGTACAGTACTTGTTTCTGCTCCCAACACGCCACACCCCATATACTCAGATAAAGTCAATAGTGAATTATTTCAACAAATGTCTGACTACCTACTGCGTGCCAGGCACTGTTTAGGGGTGAGTAAAGCAAAGTGGGAATAGATACGGTACTGTAGCAAAAAGGAATAACTTGGATTTGTCCTCCTTAGGAATATGAACACTTGTCAAATAATTTTTTAGCATTCATAAATGATCACAGTGTCCTAAATTTTTATATTTTACATGATATCTGAATCTTAAGTCCCAGGGCCTTTAAAGAAAAAAGTTGAAGTAATAACTTGTAGCTACTCTTATAGGTTTTTCCTAATATACAAAACTCTAGAATTCTTCTAGGTAGTTTGTGATGTTTTCATTAAGTAGGTACAGTCTGATTTGCAAAAGAAACTAAGATAGGCTGATGCGCCTGGATGGCTGTCAGTTAAGCAGCTGCCTTTGGCTCAGGTCATGATCTCAGGGTCCTGGGATCGAGCCCTATGTCGGGCCCCTTCCGTGGTGAGTCTGCTTCTCCTCCCTCTGCTCTTCCCCCTGCTTGTGCACTCCAGCTTATGCTCTCTCATTCTCTCAGATGAATAGATAAAATCTTTTTAAAAAATAAAATGTTTTTAAAAAATTGTTATGCTGAAAGTGAATTTTTAAAATTTAAGTCTTATTTAAGTAATCTCTACTCAATGCGGGGCTCAAACTCAAGACCCCAAGATCAAGAGTCACATAGATGCTCTTCCAGCTGAGCCAGCCAGGCGCCCCTGAGATTTAAATTGATAGTTCCTGGTTTGTACACTGTGTACTCTTCCCCAAGTGACTTAAGTGAGGCAGTTGCATAAGAGATTGAAGTTACACTTTGCTTTAGCTTCACTCTTACAAACATGGGCCAGGAGGAAAAGCGAGTATTTTGCATTTTGTTTTAGCACCTGCCTACAGTGTGAAAGGTGTTGGAGCCAGCCAAAGAGTGGTATCATGCTCAGGGTTGATGTTTGCTTTGGAGGTCTGCCCAGACCATGGTCTGTCAGCAGCGATGTCCGAAACAGCCTCCTCCCCTGCACTGTTCCCTTCCAGATCCCTGGGGCTCAGGTGCTCGTGGATGTCAGCTCTCCTTTGTTTTATTTAGTAGGGATGCTGTACATTGGGGTGTTCTTAATACTAGCCCTGACATAAACAGTTACCTGCCATCACCATTTCAGGGGCAAAGTGATGTGGCTCTGCAGTTCTCTGGAACAAGACTGTCACCAAAGTTTATTCATTTGACCCTTGGCCTCCAGGATGAATGCTCTAGAAAAAAAGAGTACCATGTTCCCTGGGCATTCCTAGAACTTATAACTTTAAGTTGAGTTAAAAGCTGCAAAATGTTTTCTTTGAGAAAAATTTATAATGTTTTGATCTTTTATGTTGGTCAAAGTATATTGTGCTGAATTGTTAGTACTGTCTTCAAAGCACCTTTCATTATATGACTAAACCCTTCTTTCTCTGTTTCTTCTAATGTCCTATTTATATTTTTCACTACAATTACGTATTTTAAAAGTTCTAACTCTGAATCTGGCACCTAATAGACAGCCTGCAGTTCCCTCGTTTTCTAATGAAATAACTTTTCCTTTCATAGTCTGTTCTTCTGATACAAAATCCAGTGAGGGAAGGGACTCTCCCAACCACAGAATCTTTGGTGCTTTGATGTTTGAAACTTTATGGCTTAAGATTCTTAAAGCTGATTTTGTTTCTACGAATCTTGCTAGGGTGGCTAATCGACTAATTTATTCAATTAGTATATTAATTTCTATTGCTTTCTTCCTTTCAAATGCTGCCCCTCAGCCCGTCTGGCATGTTTGATTATGACTTTGAGTAAGTTTGATTTGAATTAGTATTTGTGCTGTGTTGTTTAGTGTGTAGAGACCAATATGCCTTTTTGAGACCTTTCTAACCCATAGTTTATCTGTTTAATTGTAGGTATGTATATTAGGTTAGGCTGGGAAGTTTTTTTTAAAAACAGAAAAACGTGATGGAGGTAACATTTTATTTAATAACTTAAGCAAAATTAAGTAAACTTCACTTTTATGCGTTTTAATTTCTTTAAAAATAGATAACCTGTACTTTAATTCACATTTAAATTGATTTTCTGGCTTTGCTTCATAAGGAGATTAATAGTTTAAGATCTTGATAATTTGCTTTGGAAAGATTTGAAAATTGAAATTTGTTTAATTTCTTTTGTGTTTCATGTCCAGAAATGCAAACTCCTAGTCTCTTTCATGTTCTTAATCATTATGTGTCTCAGTGATTATCAGTGATACAGTTAAAAAGCTAACACATTAACATAGAGCATGCTCTCTTAATCCAATCTCTTTAACACATAGTTTTGAATAGCTTTAAAATTATATGGCTTTTATAACTGCTGTATATTTCTTTTTGTCATCTAAGTTTGCCTTGTGGCGAGAGTATCTGCTTATGTTTTTAAATACTTGCTTAATAATATCTGGGTAAACAACTAAGTATGACATAGTCTAATGAAGAATGTGGGTTTTACTTAACCAAATAGTCTTTGTTATAGCTTGTGCCCTATGCAGTAGCTGATTCCTGGCCCCTCTTTCCGTACATTAAAATGCAAATATCTTTTATCTTTTCTATCACAGGATTGATCTGAAGTTAAACAAAAAACCACGAGCTGTAAGTATCAGCCAGACCATTTCAGAGAGGCTGGTGATTTTGTAGATGATTAGAAAAACGTGTTTGTCTTCAGAGCTGAGTGTTCCTAATCTCAGGTTATGCCTCTCCTCTTAAAGGCTGGGGTGTCCGTTTGGATACACTTCAACTTTCAGGTGTTACTTACTTTTTGGTATGTTTTGGATAGAGAAAGGGGTCACACAGTTTTACTGAAGAAAAAGTCCCTTTGCTTAAAGAATGAATTGTTAATACCGGTTGCTTTAATTTTTATTTTTGTTTTGTTTTTGATTGGTGAGCTCAGGGGGCCTAACTAACAAGGGCAGAATTGAGGTTTTGGTCCCTCTGTGCCCGTGGAAGACAGGACATTTTCAGATGTGAAATATTGTCTGTTGCATTTGAAGTAGAATCTTTGGCTACAGAACAATCCCCAGCAGGGTTGTAAATGAGTTTTTTTCTTAGGTTCCAACTAATGTTCTGCCGAGAGTAAGTTGGGACTTGTGTTTTTCTCTCTTTAGGACTATTAGAAGACTCATTAGTGCAGAAGCTTCCAGGCTGTAGAGCCCTGCTTCCCTCCTCCAACCTCACAAAGATAAATATCCCTCACCTGAGTGCGCGGCCATCCACCTCTGCTTTCCCAGACCCAGTGCCTGTGACTCTGAATAGTTTGTTCTGAAACGTGGTGACAAGTCATTTCTCTAAGACCACACTGGATCATTTACTGTGTGTCATGTTTAGTAACAGAACTGCAAGAAGACCAAGACATGGTTATAATTCCAGCAAGTTGCTAACTCTGCATTTCTCCCTTCTTGGAATGAATGTGTGTCCCCTACCCCCCCCACCCCCAACCCCCGCCCCAAAAACTGGCTGGCACCAGCTTCATCTGTGATACCCATTGAGAAATGTTCTCTGGTTTTGTTTATGCTGAAGGTAGAACATAGGTCACGTTTCAGAGGGAGGCTGTAAATATCTGGCATTTTCTTATTTTGTTTGTGTTTTATTATTTTTCTATTGTTTTTACCATCTTCTTTTCTTTAGGGACTTTTTGTAATGCCGTTGTACAGCTCATACCTTCCTGCCAACATATCTGGTAATCTGTTTCATGCAGTTGCCAACATTCTTAACTGAAAATAATCTGGTTTATCATAGAGAAAATGGGGAACTTGGCTCTGTGTTTTTGCAGGGGGAAGGTAGAGAGGGTTTATTTAATAATTACCTATCTTAAATCTTTCTGCATTGGAAGCAGTTTCGTGTTCAAGGAACAGGAAAAGCTGAAAAAAAAAAACCTAAGTTTAAATCAATCCTTTTAAAATAGATATTTTTATTCTTTTATATAAATAAAATTTCACAGGTGTTGACTTCTCATGCTTTACTTTTAAACCTGAGATTGTTTTTTCACTTATTTTATTTATTCGTATCATGCCTTATGGAAATTTCTCCCTTTTTCCATTTTTCTCTCTTTGCTGGTATCTGCCTGACTAAACATTGCTCTAAAAATCACTAAGGCATATGGAAGGGCTCAACTTTGCACCCAAAGCTGGTAATGCCTGGAGTTCTTGAGCAGAGTGAGAGATAGGATCCGCGAGAGCCAGCAATGCCCAGCAAGACTGCCCGCCCCCCTTCCTCTCAGAGCCAGCTGGGCTGGGGAACTTGCAGATTTGTTGAACTCCTGTCTCTTGAGTGGGGCTCTATCTCGGCCGCTCATGACTCACCTGGGAAGCTTACAGACCTACTGATGCCTAGGTCCCCACCCCCAGAGACTCTGACTGGGGTACAGTCTAGTTCCTGGGATTTCCTGCCACAGAGGCCCTGGGGTTCTGATAAGAAGCCAGGTTGAGAACCACTGCATGAGGAGTGTCTGATTGAAATCCTATGTTGCGAATCAGTCTAGGGGATGAGATTTGGGGCCCCGCCTTTCTTTCGATGCTGTCCAGTCCTAGTCCTCGACTTAGGCCCATATCTTTGTTAGAACAAGTATGTTGCATTGTGATAATATTGGTAGAGCTGAATACGGATGGCGTCTGTTAGCAAAACGCGTCTACCTTGTCAGATGTGCGAAAGCTTTCACTCTTGTTCTCAAATAAACTTTTTTTTTTTTGACTCTGTGGCTAATTAGATGTCTTTGGTAGCAGAACTCCAATGTCAAAGTTTTTGAGAAAATAGCTGCTTATATTTAGATTGTTCCCTGAAAAAAAAAAAAAAGCTATAAAGTTGAAAACTGAGGACTAGATTTCTGTACCCTCCTTTGTCAGTTTTTATCTCTCTTTTCCCGGGAGAGAGAAGCAGGGCTTCCTGCAGTCTCCGTGACCCAGAGGAAAGCACACAGCAAACCTGAGACTATTTCTCTCATAGTTGGATATTTGCTTGAGATACGGTGGGATTGCTCTTAAAAAACTGTATTATGTGAAGACATGCCTGTGTATATGACTACACACGTGTGCGTATGATCCTGGTTAGAGGCAGGCTGCTTGCTCTATACTCATTTCCTCTGTAAAGTTTTCAATCATTGATGAGGGGACCTCCTGGTTTCCTTGTAAGCTGGCCACAGACTGAAGATACTTAAGAGAGACTGCTTATGTTCTCTAAATTGGGAAGGTTTAAGGAAAAAAAAAAAAAGAAAAACAGATGCTTACCATGCTTGTGATATTTGTGACTTTGGTTATTGGTAACTATGTTATTCTGACAAACTGAGACCTGACCTGTGACCCTGCCAGAAGGGTTGCCAGGACCCCTTCCTTCTAGGCAGGCTTTCACCAGATTATTTGAGTCAGGAATAGTGTTTTACTTTAGGCCTTTAGCCTTCTCATCTCCACACTGGGAAGAGGTTGTCCTTTGCTCCTCTTGGTAGTGATAAGACATTTTTAAAAAAATCCAAGCACTTGGTAGTTGTATTTTATGTCTCCTCCTGGGAGGATGGTGTCTGGACAAAGCTCCCGAGGGAGTCTCAAGTATGCTTGCTCTTCCAGGGGCTTTGAGGAAATAGTTTATTTTGTCGAAACTCAGAATGTCCTGAATAGCACCAAACCCTGCAGGTTGAAGACAGAAAGCAGGGACAACCCACAAAGCCAAGGATGGGCAGCTCTGTAGGGCCGATGGGAGGGACTGGGGGAAGTGCCCTGAGTTGGGCTGGGCCCGTGTGGGCTGAGAGCAGGGGCTTTCGAAGCTGCTGTACACGTCTTAGGGGCCTTCGGATTGCTTTGAGAAATGGAGTCTTTGGGCGCTACAGAATAAGTCTCCTGCCACAGAATAAGTATCCTGCAAAGAGTACCCTTGATCCCTTGACACGTGCAAGTGAATAAGGGAATTGAAACAAGTATTTCAATGGCCTGACTTTGAAAAGAGTGAATACACTGTTTTGAAACACTCTGCAACCCAGTTTTTGCTTTTATTATGACTTCTCTGCCCCTCAGCCTCACTCCAAAGTACTGAGGCATGAATTACTACATTTAAAAACTCAACGTCTGAAGCCCGACTCCAGGGCCACTGTGCTGGTGCCACCTGGAGCAAGAGCACAGGTGTGCGTCCTTGTTCGCATGTACCTCCCCCAGGCTGCTGCCCTGCTCAAGGCCTGGGAAGGTGAGGTGCATGAAGACGCAGAGATGATGCGAAGGAACTGGGGTTCTCCTGTGTTCTCATAAATGTTACTGTGTCTGGAATTTTCTAAGTGGTAAGCTTCAGGATTGGAAACAGTTTGGGAAAACTCCTTCTTAAACATTTTCACTGCTAAGATGGGCTGTGGTGTTCATTCTGACCCCCCACTTGAGTGCAGGGGCCCCGGTCCCCCCACGGAGGATGGCTCGTGCTGGGGGGGAGGTGGAGGGACGACCTTGCATTTGCATTTATTTTCTGGCTCAGCCTTTTTGACTTGTCACTTTGTGTTATATAAATACATAAACATCAGTACGTGTGGATAACTGATAAATAAATGTTAGGTTGAACCACAAGCAACTGCTGTTATTCAACCATTTTGATCCTCAAAACGGACAGTGGTCATGATTTACCAACGTGTCGAGGGTGTGTATGCTCAAGGTGCTTACTGTTCGTGTATAAGAAAAACCTTTGGAGGCCCCCTGGCTGATGTAACCTTCCTCAGATCCCCGCCCGCACCCCCAAAGCTTATTTCTGTACCCTAAGAGGCTTTAAAAGATTAAATTGGAATAAATAATTCGTATGCCAGTGGCATATATTCCAGCAGTACGGGAGAATGGTCAATGAAAAAAGTCCATGTGGCCAGTTGTCCTTCCAGAGGCCGAGCTTTGCACACACAGGAGTGATATGCACACGTGCATGTGCCTTTTCCCACCTGGTAATACAGCTTAGAAAGCATTCTAGAAATGCAGCTTACAAGCCTCATTTCTGTTGGCCACCGAACATTCCTTTATATGCGTACAGCACACCAAAATTTATGTAACTAGTCCTCTACTGACGGCATTAATGCTGCTTTTCATCTTTTGCCATTTCGGGCAGTGTTGCAAATACGATTCTTAGTGGTGGGATTGCTGCGCCGTGGGGAAATGCGTCAGGGATCTCACTGTGACTTTATGTCGCCCAGATCACTCTTTTACACGTGAATACTTGTATTTTTTTTTCTCCTTGTCCATTCCTTTTGATTCCTGCAGCTCCTGAGGATTTTTCTTGGGTAATCTGTTCCCCATAACAGTTGGAATATTCTGGAGCTTTCAGCTTTGTAAAAGGCATGACTGTTGCCTCTGGTGTTGCTTTCCAGGGTGGAGCTGCAAATGCCATTAAGAATTCCCCTTGTAGGGATCCCTGGGTGGCGCAGCGGTTTGGCGCCTGCCTTTGGCCCAAGGCATGATCCTGGAGACCCGGGATCGGATCCCACGTCGGGCTCCCGGTGCATGGAGCCTGCTTCTCCCTCTGCCTGTGTCTCTGCCTCTCTCTCTCTCTCTCTCTCTCTCTGTGTGTGTGTGACTATCATAAATAAATAAAAAAAATTAAAAAAAAAAAAAAAAGAATTCCCCTTGTAGGGCAGCCCTGGTGGCGCAGCGGTTTAGCGCCGCCTGCAGCCTGGGGTGTGATCCTGGGGACCCTGGATAGAGTCCCACATCGGGCTCCCTGCATGGAGCCTGCTTCTCCCTCTGCCTGTTCCTCTGCCCCTCTCTCTCTGTCTCTATGAATAAATAAATAAATAAAATCTTAAAAAAAAAAATTCCCCTGGCTGGCTCAGTTGGTAGAGTATGTGACCCGATGTCAGAGTCCTGAGTTCAAGCTCCACGCTGGGCGTAGAGCTCATATTAAAAAGAAAAAACAACAGTAAACAAAAATTCCCATTTTTGCCTTAGCGCTCTCCATATAATTCTCTTAGAGTCTCGTTTTGGGACCCTGTTGATGATGCTTGTCTCCAGGCGCTTCTGTGAGGCCAGTGCTGCAGGCCCTGGGGCCCAGCCGCCTCCTGCTGCATAGACGGTCGTACCAGGAGGCGCCAGCAGGTGGCAGGCAAAGCCCCACAAGCGCCGCGGCCTCCCGGGGCTCTGATCTGGGGGGAGAGTGTTGGGGGGGGGTGTTGGGGTCACCTTATCCTTTTCCTCCACCTGGTTTTGCGGCCGTTTCGTGAGCGGGTGGCCAGTTTAAGACGGCCAGCAGCTGCCGTGAGATGGGCTTCGAAAGGCCGCATCCCAGCCTGACAGCCTGGGGCCTCCTCCCCATCCAGGAACTAGCTGGAAGGATTTACATACCGTGGCCTGGGATGGCTTGAGTTTCCTTAATTGCAGGACTCTGCTTCCTGCCTCTTTGAGCCAGATCTCCCACACCCTTCCCATGAACCGGGAGGTCCCCAGAACCGGCTCTTACTCACCGCCCTCGACTCCACCCACCGAGCTACGGTCCTGGGGAAGAAACTGAGCCAGAGGTTTGAGAAGCCCTGGAGCAAAAGTGCTAGGATCCCAGGACTGCCTTATTTGGGGGGCAGGAGTCTCTGGGGACCAGCTGGGCTGAGGGCTTGAGGTGCTGGCTCCATGCCCCCCGCCCCCCAGGTCCCAGATGTGTCCTTCCCAGTTTCTCTGCGGGAGACCCCTCCAGCCCCTCCTTCCGGGCAGGGGTCCTGCCCTTCTGTGTGCGGGAAGAGATGGGGTGGGGAGGGGGAAGGAAGCGGTCAGGGTGGCCTCTCCCCAGTCACTGCCCCGCACCAGCACCGGGGCTGGGGGTTGGGGGGACTGGGAGAGCGACTCCCCTGGAGCCCCAGCGCCCTCCTGCTCCTGGTTGAAGTCCCCCAGACGGACCTTGAGGGCCCTCTGGGCTTCCCGCAGGCAGGTGGGGTGGGGTGGGGACACCCAAGGGAGGGTTCCAAGTTTCATCCACTGGGGCCCAGTTGCTTCTCTGCCCAGGGAGGCCAAGGTTTCTGTTAGTGACCCTGGCCCCTGGGGAAGTTAGCCCGCCTCTGGGTCAGGCCGTGCTGGCCAGAGCCTGGGGGTGGCGGGGCGGGGGGGGGGGGGGGGGGGGGCTGGCCCTCCGGGAGCTCCCCAGGATCATTTCCCAGCAATGCAGGGATTTGCATACTCCCTGGTTTCCCCGTCAGCCGCTAGGCCCTGGAGGCAGGAAGGTGGAGGAGGAAAGGGCAGCGGCGCGGCCCTGTGGGCTGGGTCCCCTCGGCACCGGAGCTTGGGGGTCTCTGCCGCCCTCTGGGCCCCAGAAGCCCGCGTGAGACGTGCCGCCGCAGCCTGGGGCTCAGCCAGGGAGCCCGGGCCTGGAGGGGAGGGGGCTGCGCAGGCCACATGGCCAGGCCCTGCCATCCCCCCCACCCCGGCGGGCCCCAGCGAGCTGAGGGGTCTCCTGGTCGGCCTGGAGCTGCGCAGGGCCCCCCTGGGGACCCCCTGTGGGCGGTGGGAGCACCCAGGCCCTGGGAGGGAAGGGGCTGCGGCCGGCGGGAGGCGGGACGGGGAGGCCCGGGCCAGGGGGCCAGGTGCCCGTGGCTGCAGGTCCTGGGGGGGGGGGTGGCGGCGCCGAGGGGCCCCTGCCTCCGGCCCGCACGCTCCTCACCCCACACACCCCACATGCTGTGGCCCTTGGGGCTGGCCCCCGGCTGGCGGGGTGGCAGGGGGCACACGCTGCTTCCAGGCCGCTCCTGAGGCCTCGTGGCCTTCCCGTTCCACGCGGTGCACCGACAGGGGCCTGGTGGGTGCTGCTGGGGCGGCCCCTGCTGAGCAGGTGGCTGGGATGGCCCTGCCCCCCTCCCGGGGCAGTAGGGCTTCTGTGGGGGTGCCTCCCTCCCTCCCCCAGGGCCTGCGAGCCCTTGCAAAGCAAACCAGCAGCGTCTGGAGGCCTTGCTTCCTCAGCTGTGTGGAGCCAGGGGCCCCCACCCCAGGGCCTCCTCCAGCCTGCCCTGTCCCTGGGACCTCCGGCCACGCGCTCGGCCTTGCCTTGCCGGTGGCCTTCCCTGGCCGTGCCAGTGGCTGATAACGAACTGGACAGTCTGGTCTTTTAGCTTCCCGTCCCAAAAAAACAAAGACCCATAAATAGCCTTTTAATCTGGAATACGGTACCTGATTGGAAAAAAAAAAAAAATCTTATAAGGCAATGACATTTCTTTGTGCAGCTAAAACCTTCCGAAGAGGCTGGAAGCAATGGGCATGGGGTGCCCTGAAGAGCACGAGTGGGGGCTGCAAGAGAACGTTTGCTCAGAGCATTCCCACCTTGCCCCTGGGTTCCCGCTTCAAATGCAGGCTTCTACAGAACGGCCAGGGTGGGGGCCTCGGTGGGGGCCTGGGTGGTGCAGTCAGCTGAGCGTCTGACTCTAGATTTCTGCTCTGGTCACGATCCCCAGGTCCTGGGATCAAGCCCCAGGTCAGGCTCCCTGCTCAGTGGGGATATGCTTCTCCTTCTGCCCCTCTGCACCCCCCACACAATTTGCTCTGTCTCTCTAATAAAAAAAAAAAAAAGATGTTCAGGGTGAAGAACTCAGCGCGCAGGGAGATGGCCAGGCTGGCGTTTTCTTCACCAGGCTGTGCAGCTGTTCTGTGGCAAAGCAGTTTCTAAAAAAAAAGAAAGGAAGGAAGGAAGGAAGGAAGGAAGGAAGGAAGGAAGGAAGGAAGGAAGGAAGGAAGGAAGGAAGGAAGGAAGGAAGGAAGGAAGAGAAGAAAGAAAGAAAGAAAGAAAGAAAGAAAGAAAGAAAGAAAGAAAGAATACAGATACTGTAAAAGCTTCACAATAAGTACAGATTAGGTGCGGTGTCCAAATATAGAATGATTAAGACTGTATTTTTTCAAAAAAACCCCTATTTTTTCCATTTTCTCCTGCTGATAGTGTTTGTTTTGGGATCATTTTATAATCCAGCTTTTCACTTAAAATATTTAACCTTTAGATCTGATTTATCTGAAAAAAAAAAATGTATATCCCTGCCTGGCTTCCTTCCTCCTAGGGGCCGCTAAGAGTTTCAGGATGGTGAGGTGAGCACAGCCTGCAGCACTTACTATGTGCCAGGCACTGGGTCATGTGCTCAACACGCATGCTCCCCGCTTCACAGATGAGGAAACTGAGGCCCACCCAGAGAGAGGTAGTCACTTGCCCCGGTGACATAGTTGGTGGCAGGCCAGTTCCTGAGTTGGGGAGCAGGACCCCCGACCTCCGAGGTGACGCTGGCATCACCTGCCTGGGAGGAAGGGGCTGGAGCCAAGCACCCAGCCCCCCCCCCCCCCCCTTGTCTCCTCAGCTGTCCTAGAAGCCCTCTTCTCAGCCAGGTGGTTTTCTGTCCTCGGCTCTGGTCACCGAAGAGAAAAGGGGAACAGACCAATCCTGCCCCCAACCCCTGCCACCCCCTCCCCACACCACGGCCTCAGGACTTCAAGCCCTTACCTGCTTCAACTCCGGGACCTCCCCCACCAACCCCCCACCCCCGCCTGTGGGTCCCCCCCTCCACTCCAGGCCCTGCCCCCAAGGGGCAGAGCACTTTGGGTGGGTGCACATCTGCGGACCCCCCATTGCCCAAAGGCCCCGGCCACACCCCAAGCACAACACAGGGCTCGCATTAAACTTTATTGACACGTTAAGAGAGGCAAGGGCTTACACTTAGGATAGTCACGTTACACCTGTACAGGTACATACACGCACCCCACCCCCGCGGGAGGGCGAGAGGACCCCCAGCACAGAGGCCGGGGGTTGGGGGCTGGGACACGGCGAACAGAGCAGGACGGAGGGGGTATTAAGAAGCATCTTGCTTACTGACATGAAGCCGGGTGCCCCGCGAGAGCACCCAAGAGGCCTCATTGGCGTACAGGAGGGGCCCTTGGAGGGCAGGCACACGGTGCCTAACTAGCCAGCCGAGGCCGGCGTCCCAGGGACGGGGCGGAGGGGGGGCCGCGCACAGGGCCCCCAGCCCAGGCCTCTGCTCCCCACCGCCGCCCTCCCCGCCCTCCGAGAAAGGAGGGTTTGGGCTTCAGCCACGACGCCTTAGGGCAGCGTCTCCTTAAACTACAGATACAATGTGCATCAACAGGGTGATCGCTCCTGCCCCGCGACGGCGCCACCGGGCGGGGTAGGACCAATCCTACAGTATCTTTGGTTTGTGGGTTCCCTTCCCTACTTCGATGGCCCCTCCGACTGGCTCACTGGCTAGGGTGCTGGGGCTGGTAAGAGAGGATCTCCGCCGCCAGCCGCTGCGGGTCCAGCAGCTGCGGGAAGCGCCCCATCACGGCCTCTACCAGGTGTGGGGGGAAGACCCCGCACAGCTTGGTGTACACGCTGGCTCGCTCCTTGGCCAGGCTGCCCGGCGCCCCCCACGGGCCCCCCTCGGCTGGCCCTGGGCGCTCAGGCAGGACGGGGGTGGGTGGGGGCAGCGGGTAGGGCTCCGACCAGTACTCCCGGGCCGGGAAGGTAGCCGGCGGGGGCGTGTAGTCCGTGGGGACGCTGAAGTGGCCGCCACCCACGGGCCCTCCGAAGGCGGGGAAGGCCCCCCGAGGGGCCGGGAGCTCCGCCCTGTAGGGGCTGTAACCCGCGTAAGGGCCGCGGGCTGGGGCCGGCTCAGCAGGGCTTCCGCCGCGGACGCCCCACAGTTCCGACATCTGGCTCTCCAGGGAGCCGATGCCCGAGTCCAGACACTCCTGGGACGTGTACGAGACGGAGTCGAGCGTCTGCGGGAACCAGTCTGTGCGCCCACCCGGGCCACCCCCGCCAGGTGGGAGGCTCCTGCCCGCGGGGCCCAAGGGCGCCGGGGGACCCTCTCGCTGCGGCCCCGGGGTCGCCTGTGCTCCCAGCGTCCCCTCCAGGCCGCACGGCTCAGGCTCTGTGGGCATGGAGCCGGGCTGCGACGAGGGTGAAGGCCGCCGGCCGCTTTTGTCCTTGCCCGGGGCCCGCGGGGGCGACAGGAGGGCATTGGCGCGGAGCTCGTCGGCCACCGAGCGCTGGGGGCGGCTGGGCCGCTCGGGGTGGAAGAACCGGCACTTGATCCCGTAGGTGCACTTCCTCCCTGGAAGGACGGGGTGTCAGAGCGGGGGGCTCCCGCTCTGGGGCTGGGACAGGGAAGGGGCCCCCGAGGGTCTCTTACCATAGGGGCACGGCTGCTTCCTGTGCTCTGCCGTCAGCGGCTTCTTACGCAGGAAGTTGTCCAGGCTTGGGCCGTGCCGGCCCAGGGGGTCATCGGGGGGCATGAACCTGGGGAGCAGGCGGGAGGCATGGAAGGGCTTCCCGGGGAGAGGCCAGACCACGACCCCACCAGGGACAATGGGAGGGAGAGCAGTCCCTAAAACTGGCGATCGATCGTCCTGCAGGTCGTCCCTGGCAGCCAGCGTGAATGCTCTAAGGAGGGGGGTGGCCAGGGGGCCCGGCTGGAGGGGCCCTCAGAGCAGCCCTCAAGGGGGGAGCTCTTGGGGCAGTGGGGAGGCCGGGCTCCCGGAAGTCTGCACCTAGGGCGGTCGGTCCCCAGGAACCCAGTGCTGGAACCAGTAACCATAGCCCCCCACACCCACTTCTGCTCCGCCCCCTGCCCGGCCTGGCCCAGCCCGATGCCCCCTTCCACCTGGCACCAGATCCCTCACCCCCAAAGCTGCCCAGATGCGAGGCCGTGGCCCCAGCAGAGCTGCGCCCCCACCCCCCACGCCCGAGGACGCGTCTGCCTCCCCCCGGGGACCCCAGACCCGAGGGCTGGCACGTACTTGTCGTTGACGAAGGAGTACATGAGCAAGCGCTCCTCAATGAAGCGCTTCCACTCCTGCCGCTCACCCTGGAGGTCCCGGTAGGTGTCGTTGGAGACCACGACCCCGTCAGACTCGTAGGCCAGCTTCACGATGAAGCGGTCGTCGTAGCACACCACGCGCTTGCCCCCCACGCGCCGCGACGGGGTGAACACCAGGATCTTCTTCTTCTCCAGCTCCCGCAGGATGTGCTGGTCTGGGAGATGGCGGCACAGGTCAGGGCCGGGCCTGGACCCTGAGCGTCCTGGCGGCCAAGGCCCAGGGGCTCGGAGCCACAGGTACACCAAGGCAGGAAGGGGCAGCTGGGAAAGGAGACGCTGGTCCCTGCTTGAGTCCTAGGGGTGGCCGGTCACACAGCCTGAGGGTCTTCTCTTGGGCAGAAGCCCTGCTGGGGCGGCGAGGCCACCCCAGGTGAGGCGGGATGGGGGTGCCACTCACCTGTGATGGGCACATCGGGCCGAGGCTGCTCCTTCCTCCAGGACGGCACAAACACCGTGATGTCTGTGTGGCCCCGCTCCAGGAACCAGTTCACCGCCAGGAGGATGCCGCGGCAGGAGAACACCTCCTTATTCCCGTGGCTGCAGGACCAGGAGGGTCGGGGTCAGCCTGCGAGGGGTGGCCGGCCCACAGGGCCCTGGGCCCTGGCCAGGCGTGCGGACGCGGGGCTCAGCCCACTGCCCTCTGGCCCCAGGCCCGCATTCCCCGCTGATTCCCACAGCGTCCCGGATGGCCACACCAGGGACTTTCCCTGAGTTTCCATCTCCCGACAGTGAGGAGCCGCCCAGGAATCCGGTGGCACCCGCTCCCCGTGTGGAGGAGGGTCAGGCCGCTTGCAACACACCTGGGGGTGGGGGAAAGGCTGCGGGAGCTTTCTGGTTCCTGCCCCACCCGGGGGGCGGGGGGGGGGGGGCCGGGACCACGGGGACACAGGCTCCCTGAGTCACTGCTCCGCCCTCGCCCGCTGGGCGGTGCTGGCGGTGGGGGTGGGAAGGGACAAACTAACCCGGAGAGAAACCAGATTGCTCCGGATTAAACGTGGATTAAAGTTCAGTCCCACACAGGCCCCAGGGCCCGGGAGTGAGGACGGCTCAAGGGAAGGAGGCAGGATCCATGGTCCAAACCGGGGCGGGTGGTGACAGTGGGACACGGCTTAGGAGTGTCGCAGCCTGAAAGTGAAAGAGCTTCCTCCCGAGGCTGCCAGTTCCCCCAAATGCCTGTCCCGGGGCCCCTCCTTGCCCCCCTCAGGAGGGTGTGAGCTGAGGCAGAAAGACCATCTGGAAGCAGCCAGGGGACTGTTAGCAGGAGGGCTGGGAGAGGGGACATCCGCCCTGCAGGGTCTGATGGCTGGATGTCACCCCATCCAAACCTGGCTGGATCCAGAAGCCAGCCTGGCAGCCTCTGGCTTGCTCTGGCTCAGTTTCCCTATCTGTAAAAAAACGGGCCTGTCCGTCTGCAGTCTCGTTAGGAAAAGCCCGTGTCCGTGGCCTAACTTTCCTGTTTCCTTGAGGTCAGAGACAGCCCCACAAAGTAGTGGAAGTTCCCACGGGCTTCCTGGGAGGGTAAGAGGGGGCTGGGGGTTCCCGGGGAACACTGGGTGTTGTGGGGGGGGGCTCAGGCCCCAGCTGCGGCTCCCTCCCCAGCAGCCCCTGCCCCTCACGAAGCCCTCCATCAACAGCCCTGACGTTTGTGTTTGGCAAATAAAACAGAATGAACGTTACACAAAAGAGGCAAGTCCACGGGCGACCACATCCTGTGGGTGGTGGTAGTTGGAGTCCCAAGAGAAGGCAGAGACGGGGGTGGGGCCGCCGGGGGGGGCACAGAGGGCGCTGGGGGGGGGCACAGGCCAGGGCCCCCAGTCTGAAGGTCTCCATAGACCGTCAGGGAGCCAAAGTCCAGTGGGAGGCAGAGCCTGGGGCCGCCCCTGCCCACCAGCCTGCTCCCAGGGCACGTTCACGCGTACCGGGGTTCACGCGTACCGGGGGCCACGAGCAAGGCCCTGACCCAAGAGCTCAGAGTGCACCCCTCAGCGAGCCTCTGAGGAGGGTCCTGCACGTAAAGGCCCCTTTCCCCTTCGTTCCCCTGACAAAACTGATCCAGAGCAGAGCACAGCAGGTGCAGGCACGGGGACAGGGGGATGGAGCCTGTGCTCACCTCCGCCCCCAGTGCTGATGCTCAGACAGGTACAAGCACCAGCCCTGGCGGCGGGGCCAGGTGGGCTGAGGGGGTCCCAAGCTCCTACGGGAGGCCATACGAGGCCCACGCCTCCTTGGTCCCTTCGAGGCCACCGTGAAGGAACCTGAGGAGCCGCAACTCATTTACGGTCCCCCGGCCAGCGGTTAAGAGACAGAGCTTGCATGTCCAGGCCCCGAAGTTCTTACAGCAGAGAGGGAAGCTCCCAAGTGTGGAGTAGGGGCAGGCAGGGGACAGGGCACAGGGGACGCGAGGCCTTTGGCAAGCTCCTCCTCTTCCTCCAGACCCTGAGCCAAATGGCACTGCCTCCAAGAAGCCTTCCCGGACCTTCCAGGACAGGATCCCCGGTTTCTCTTCACAAAGCCCGGTGCTTCCCCCCCCCCCATCACATCCGCACTCCCTGGGCCTCTGCGGCCTCCCCAAACCCCCAGCGTGGCTCTCTGGCTCGGGTAAGCCGTCGGCACACGCACCCACCGTGCCTGCTTCCGTACACACGCGTGTACATGCATATGCCCCCTCCCGGCCAGCGTCTGCAAGCCCCAGGACTTTACTGGGACGCCCGAGCTTCCAGGACGGCGCCCCGCCTCGGGCATCCAAACCCTGGGCCGGGGACAGGTCTGCTCGCAGCTGCCCTCGCTCCCAAACACTCGCTAGGCAGGCAGTGAGAGCCTGGCTCTTAGGAGCTGAACCCACCAGGCAGTTCCTCAAGTCGAGCCGGGCCAGGAGTGGCTCCTTACAGCCAACTTGAGTCCCTCTTGCTGCAATGGAGGAAGCTCCACTGGCACAGGAAAACCAGACATCCTCCCCACCCCCGCGCAGTCCGGTTTGCCCAGAAGGTCACCCCTACCCCCCGCCCCCAGCCTGGCTAACTAGGCTGGCTAAGTTGTGGGAGGTCGTAGGGGACTCGGCTGGGCTGCTCCCACCCCGGGATCCAGGGCAGGACCGGGCCAGGCCGGCCAGGTGAAGAGATCGGCCTGGGCTGGGCCCCGGGAGAGGAGAAAAATTCCCTTAGAAGGAAACAGAGGTGAATTTCCCCACGATTTGCATACGGTGGGGGCCGGCCTGCCCTGGGGGGGGGGCAGCAGGGCAGGAACCGCCGCGGAGACAGGAAGTCAGAGGCTGGAATTCCCCTCCTGCTACCGAGGACGGCTCAGAAACCCCCTCCCTCCGCCCCCCCCCCCCCCCCCCGCCTCCCGCCCCGCCTCCCCCCCCTCCTCCCGCCGGGATACAAACACACAAAGCACATGGCTGGCCCTGGGGAAGAAGTCACAGGCCCCAGAGGAGACCCCCTCTCACAGCACAGGCGGTGACCTGCTGCCACTAGCAAGGGGGAGCCGGCTTTACCCAACCTCCCGCCTCGGCTCAGCCCATTTCAGAGACAGGAAGACCGATCAAGGTGGGGCGGGCAGGGCGGCCTGCACACCGGGGGAGCTGGGCCTGGAGCAGCCTGACCGCTGACTCGGCCCAGCTGGGTTGGGAGTGGGAGGCGCCCACCTGGAAGGCCCCTGGGGCAGCTGGGGGAGGGGCCCTGCCCAGGCTCACTCACAAGGGTCGGAGGGTCTCCCTGACCCAGGCCACTGGGACTCTTCCTGGTGAAGGATCCACCCCACCCTGACCCAGAGGGCGGGGCCTGGACTGAAGGGAGATCTGGGCTTCACTTGGCCCCATTCCCTGTGACAGTCCTCTCGGAAAGGGGAGGTTCAGTGGGGTGGACTCCTGGCCCCAGGGGGAGGGGGTGTGCGGGAGCCCAGGCCCAGCGCAGCCCAGGTAGCTGGGCTGTAGCAGAAGCGACCCAAGTCACTGCTGACCTGCCCCCCGCACCCCCGCCCCACAATGTAAGCCAGATCCTCGAGGTCACTCTTGGTCACAGCACCCAGTCCTGCCTCCTCAGGGGTCCAGGTCTCGGACAACAAGGCCTCAGAGGCCCCAGACCCTAAGTAACAGTGGCGACAACTCCCGCTTACTGAGCTTGCGTTTCCAGGCTTTGTGCCTCCGCTCCTCACAGTGTCCCCGGAGCAGGGGTTCGCTAGGTCTCCCTGACCGAGAGGGAAAGCTCAGAGACCTGCAGTGACTGGCTCCCACAGGGCGAGCCGGCCCCACAGCCTGATCCCATACCAGCATGCGGCCTTGGGTTGCAGGAGAAGAACCGAGAACGAGTGCTGGTCTTCAGGGAGAGACGAAGAGCCCGTGGTGAACGCCAGGCAGAGAAGGACACGAGTGCGAATCCCTGCTCTACCACTTCCCGGCAGCGTGCTCATGAGCGCATCTCTGAGCTCCTATCCTCACTCCAAAACATTCCTAACAAACCCACTTCTAAGAAGCCATCAGGATTAAGGGAGAGCCTCAAGCAAGGGCTTTCCCTTCCTCTAGAGCAGCCTGTGAGAACGGGTCAGACTCCAGCAAGCCCCTCTACCAGAGACAGAAGCATATGGCCACCGTTCCTGGCCGCAGGCCCTCGTCTCGACCCCAGAAACGACACGTACCTCATGGCCACGTTGCTCCCGTCGATGACCACAGGTCTCAGGTCACTGCCCTCCTTGTTCTCCTCCGGGGGTGAGGGCTCCAGGCTGGGAGCCTTGGGAGTGCCCCCACCCCGGGGGACCAGGGGGGGCTGAGTGCAGGGGTCCAGGGAGCTCTGGCGCCCCCGCTCGGGTGCCGACCCATGTTTGACCAGCTCGCCCAGCACTGTGTTGGTGTCGGCCTGCACCCCCAGTTTCTGCAGGGCACCGTGGATCTCAGCCGACGAGTAGCCCAGCTTGCGGAAGAAATCAACCTTCATCTGCATCTCCGCAGCCGCGGCGTCGTCATGGGCGCTGGGCTCCCGAGGTGGCCTGGGGGAACCTGGGCAGCTGCGCCCGTCAAGCTCCCACAGACTCATGGTGGGGCCGGCCTCCTGAGCGGACCTCTCTCCACGTGCCAATCACAGCTCAGACCGATGGAAGACACCTGTCACAGCTCCTGTAGGACCACGGAAGGAGTTAGAGATGCAGGGCTGGGGGGCTGCTCTCTCCCACCCGGCAGGTCGAGGCCACACGGACTCGGTGGCACCAGGCAAAGCCATCTGCATGTGTCGCCTCTCCTCCCCTCTCAAAAGCCATCCTGGCTGGGAGTTGTCATCCCCACTCTATAAAGGATGAACCCGAGCCACAGACTTTCAAGAACTGGCTTCAGGTCATCCATCCAGCTGTTAGCTGGTGGCGCAAGGGCTTGAACTCGGGCAGCCAGGCTCCACCTCCCACCCCGCCCCCGGCCCCACGGCGCCCCGGGGGACCCAGAGGTCCCGGGCGGCCTCGCACCACGTCGCCGCGCCCCCACCGCTGCGGGGCGGGGCCCCGGGATGGAAACGGGGGGGGGAAGGGGAGGGGGAGGAGGGGGGGAAGGGGAGGGGGAGGGGGAGGAGGGGGGCTTCCCCGCCGAGGCCGCCGCCTCCGCTCGCTCGGCGCTCGCAGCCCAGGCCCAGGAGGGGCCCCGCGACCCGACTCCCGGGCCCGACAGAGGAAGTTTCCGGGGCGACCCACCGGCGGGAAAAGTTGCTGGGAAACTCCGGTTGGGGTGTCCCGGAGGCGGCCCCGAGCGCCGCGCTCCCTCGGCTCCCCGGGACCCTGGGCCTCCCCCCGCCCGGCCGCCCCAACTTGGGCTAAGTCGGAGGAGGCAGGGGTTCCCGAGGACCCGCGGCGAGCCGCCCCGCGCGCCCCCTCCGCCGCCCTCCCCGCGCCCCGCGCCCCGCGCCCCGCGCCCCCGCCTCACCCCGCCGAGCACCTGCCGCGGCCCGCGGCGTCTCCATGGGGCCGAGTCCCGGGGGCGAGGCCGGCGGCGCCTTTATACGGAGCGGGCAGGTGGCGGTCGGCACCGTGACGCGGAAGCCGGCGGGGAGGCGGCCCGCGGCCCGGGAGCAGGGGGCGGAGCGGCCACCGCCCCTTCCTGCTCCGCCCCGGTCACGCCCCGGGATGCCAGGCCACGCCCCCGGGATGCCGGGCCACGCCCCCGGGCTGCCGGGCCACGCCCCCGGGTTACCAGGCCCCGCCCCCGGGCTGCCCGGCCCCGCCCCCGCAGCCAGAGCGCGCTCGCCGGCGGGGCCCGAGGTCGGGGGGCGGGGCAGGGCCGCGGCGGCCGCTACGTGCGCGGGGCGGGAGCGCACCCCCCGGGGCCCAGCCGGGCGCGCGCGGACTCCCCGGGGTGCGCTCCGCGCCGCGCGACACCTACGCCCCGGCTGCCACCGCTCGGCCACGGGCGCCTCGAGTGACCCGGGTGCACGGAGGTCGCCCCACCCGCCGCTGGAGGTCGGTCCGCAGCGGCAGACCCGGGCTCCCCCCCCCGCCCCCCCGCCCCCGACCGAGCCGGGAACACGCAACAGGTGCACCGGGACCGCAGCGGGGACACGGCGGGGGGCGGTGAGGACACTGGCCGGGATGGACCAGCACAGCCAGGAAGTACCCTCGATGGGGGGTGAAAAAGCAGCAGAGAGGTGCTTACAGCGGTCGCCGTGAGTGTGCACACTGTGCTTTGCACACGCATGCACACACACCCCCCCACGGGGAGGACGCTTTCGGGGCCGGGTCAGGCAGTCCTGGGCTCTGAGCGGAGCACAGCGCTTCCCACTACCCACCCCTTGGGCTTAGGTGAGGAAGACAGACAGACCGCGGTGCCCATTGAACCCCCCAGAAGTTCAGAAAGCGCTTAATTGCCTCATCTGGAAAGGATTGGGACTAGGGCCAGGAGCTCCTCATCCAGGGACCAGCTGCCACCTTTGCCACTTTCGAAACCACCAGTGAGTGACTCTGGGCAGAGGGGAGACTTGTGCCTGACCCCTGCTATCAAGTCCCACATCAGCCTCCCTGCATGGAGCCTGCTTCTCTCTCTGCCTGTGTCTCTGCCTCTCTCTGTCTCTCTGTCTCTTATGAATAAATAAATAAAATCTTTAAAAAAAAAAAAAAGGGAACACAACCCACAAGCTGGAGGACACAGCCTGAGCCACCCTACCTACACCAGCTCCCTTTGGAGATGGGGAAACAGGTTCAGGGAGCGGGGGCCCTGGTAACAGAGCTGCCTCCCCCAGGCCTGGGCCCCATAGGGAATTAGTGGGACAGCTGGAAGCTTCGATGTGAAGACACCATATACGCTGCACGGGGACAGCTGAATGAATGATAGTAACAACAGTAAGATATTCGCATGTCCACTAGCTCATTACAAAATGAGACCCAGGACCTCTGGGGGGCTCAGCAGTTGAGCGTCTGCCTTCAGCTCAGGGGTGATCCCAGGGTCCTGGGATCGGGTCCTGCATGGGCCCCCTGCATGGAGCCTGCTTCTCCCTCTGCCTGTGTCTCTGCCTCTCTCTCTGTGTGTCTCATGAATAAATAAATAAAATCTAATAAATAAATAAATATATACATTTATATAAACAAGACCTATACCAGTACCTTTAAGACCTTCCACTTGCCTCCACTGCAGCCTCCTCCCTCATCCCGAAGGAGGACTTTCCTGAATTTTGTTTTAATTATGCTAATCATTTCCTCAATGTTTCTCTTAGTTTTACCAACCTTAGTAGAAATCCCAAGATAACATGTTGTTTAGTTGGGTTTTGCTTTTTGGGGTGCAAAGGGCATCGTTCTATAGTTATATGACTCCCCTTTTCCACACAGCATTGTTGTTTTTTTTAATTTAAGCTTTTATTTTCAGCTAGTCTCTACACCCAATGTGGAGCTCGAACCCACATCCCCAAGATCAAGAGTCACAGGTTTCACCGACAGAGCCAGCCAGGCAACACCACATTGCTTTTTAAAATACATTTCTTGGGGTGCCTGGGTGGCTTAGCAGTTGAGCGTGTGCCTTTGGCTCAGGGTGTGATCCCGGGGTCCTGGGATCAAGTCCCACATCAGGCTCCCCGTGGGGAGCCTGCTTCTCCCTCTGCCTGTGTCTCTGTCTCTCTCTGTGTGTCTCTCATGAATAAATAAATCAGATCTTTAAAAAAAAAAAAAGAAAATGCCTTTCTATTGCCTGTATACCTATAACTTACTCATTTGGTGACTGAATAACATTCTGTTTTAGGAATATACCACTGGTCATTCAGCCATTCTGTTACTGGATGTTATTTCTGGGATTTGTTATTTATTTACCTATGTGGCTATTACCAGGAGTGTGCTTTGGATATCCTCGTACATAATCTTAACTAGAGTCACAGAAACAAACAGAGTGAAGTCACTGGCCCAGGGGCCCGGAGCTAGCGGGGCTGGGATTCGCAGAGCTCTGAGGTACCCACCTCTAGTACCTGCCTGTCTCAGGAGGTCACGGAAGACCCAGAGAGGAGGGAACGTGCCGTGCGTGCGTGCATCTTTAGCCAGGCCCTGAAGCTGCTCCTCCGGACTTGCCTGACCCCATGTACCCAAGTCCCTGCTTTGTTACCTACGTTAACTCTAAAGACCCCAAACGGTTCCCTCCTGCGCCCTCCAGGCATAGCAACCCCGGGGGGGCTGACCCCAAGCCAGGCACAGAGGGCAAACAAAGCCCCCTTTCCAGGGGGGCCCTCAGTGGTCTCAGCTCCTGTTAAGCACTCTGCTGTGCCCCCATCTTCACGGGAACCCTTTTAACATTAAGCTCAGTGACATTAGGTGTTTACTCGGCCTCATAACTACTTTTAAGATAGTAAAAATATTGAGAAACAAGGCCAGGTTGATCACCGTAATGATGATACGTCAACCCCAGCGAGAATGCCTCACATTTGGGGACTGCTCCCTGGGCTGGGCCGAGGCGCTCTGCATGTGCCTCTGTGCCTCGTCCTTGCCTGGGAGTGCCCTCGCCTCCTTCCCGCCCCCGACGGCTGCCTGCCCAGTTCCATTCATCTTTTTTGATGATGTCACCTCCTCCGGGAGGCCCGCCGAGACTCTTCCAGCGCTCCTCTGCTCCCACCGCGCCTGGCCCGTGTCCCTACGTTCTGGATTGTGATTGCCCGCAGGGGACCTCCTCCGGGAGGTCCAGCGCTGCGCCAGTTGTAGCCGGCACGACGGGGTGATGAGTCACGAAGCTCCGTCCCCTCCCAAAGCTAGCCGCGCGGGCCAGAGTCTCACTCTCTTCCGGCTTAGGAAGGCGGCTCTTTCCTGAGAAGCTGACTCTTCTGCAGAATCCAGAATCCGGGGAACCCCTGCTCCACTTACAGCTGGATTTTGCAAACCTTGGCCCTGATTCCCGGGAGCATTCTGGACGTGATGATGCCCAGCCCACGCCTGCGTCTTGGAGGCTGGGCTTGCCAGCTTCCTTCCCGGAACCTGCCTGCTTTCTTGCCACCTGCCTGCATCTGGCCGGCCTGGGTGAGGTCTTCAGGGGTCCCAGACTGGCCCACCCCCTGGGCTAGGGATGGGGGACCCGGAGAGAGAAAGGTGCTAGGAATTACCTTGGCTTTTATGGTTCCACTGGGCAGCTCATGGGTGGGGGGGTTACCTGTGTAGGAAGGGTGGGCAGGCTGCCCCCAAGGCCTTGGCAGAGTGGCCACAGAGGTTAAATTCATCCAGGACTTACAGAAGCAGAGAAAAAAATCAGGTCCCTCCCATGTTTTTTTGATGTTCCTCATATATTTTTTTATTTTTTTCTCATATTTTTTTTAAAGTTATTTTTTAATTTAAAAAAATGTACGTAATCTCTACATGGGACTGGAACTCACAACCCAAAGATCAAGAGTCACGTGCTCCTCTGACGGGGCCAGCCCGGCGCCTCATCTCCTAGTATATTTTAAGAAGACATCACAGTAGAGCTACAAAAGGATTGAGGTATGCTTTAAACAGCAGTGGAAAAAAATAAACAGTAGTGGAACGAAGTAACTTTTTTCATCATATGCTCAGATGCAGTGGGACTACTGTACACGATATATCAGCAGGATCGTTTTTTTTTCTTTTTAGGATTTTATTTATTCATAATAGACAGAGAGAGAGAGAGAGAGAGAGAGAGAGGCAGAGACACGGGCAGAGGGAGAAGCAGGCTCCATGCAGGGAGTCTGACGCGGGACTCGATTCCAGATCCCAGGACCACACACGCCCTGGACCAAAGGCAGGCGCTAAACCGCTGAGCCACCCAGAGATCCCCAGCAGGATCGGTTTTAAAGAAGATATTGTTTCCTTGGAATAATGGCTGATTGTAGGGCTGGGGCCAGAAAAGGGTGAGCCTGGAGCATCTGGTGGGCCCAGAGTTGGCAAGTGCTCAAAACACAAAAGGATGGGGTGTGTCAAAGGGACCCAGGAGCTAAATCACTCCAGTGGCCAAGGCAGCCACAATTAGAGCCATAAAAGAAATAACAGAATATTAGATGATAACCCGAAGCATAAAATACATATCCATGAGTCCACACTAGTAGAAATAAATTATTGAATAGATAGCTCACCGGGAAGGAAGAACTAAATCTTCCTTACCGAAGAATTCGAAATAATCTATGTCGATTGTCCAGGAGACGGAGCTTGATTAACCCACCCCCTTCCCCTTCCCTTGACAGCGCACTAGACTTTTTTTTTTTTAATATTTATTTATTTGAGAGAGAGAGCACAAGCAGGGTGAACAGGAGAGGGAGAAGCAGGCTCCTCGAGGAGCAGGGAGCCTGATGCGGGACTCGATCCCAGGACCCTGGGATCACACCCTGAGCCGAAAGCAGCTGCTTAACAGCCTGAGCCACCCAGGCGCCCCCCTTGCTTCTGAGCCATAGAGCAGGAGACGGGAAAATAGAAACCTTGCGGTGGAGAATCCTCGTAGACACCACGTTGACCAAGTCTCTAAGGTTGACATCGCCTGGAGTGAGCGGAGTGGATCGCGTGCTTCCCGGGGTCACCTGATGAGAGGCGCACGTCCCTTCTGTGATTTTCTTCCCCCAAACTCACGACCCTAGAGGACGCCTCTGTCGGATG